TCTTAATTTCTTTGCTCCAGGCCTGTCTGAATGGTGAGGAACAACTGTTCCTCTGTGTCCTCTACAATGAAAGAACCCAAAAGCACTCAGCTCTGAGCACTTCCATGGTCGTCAGATCTTGGCGCCTCTGGCTGGTTAAAAAGCAGATTGGGCACTGTTAGTGCTCAGTCTACTTGAGTGGAGTGACAATTTGACATATTTGGCATCCATGTAATTATCATAACCTCATATTTTATATTTTATATATAAACTGTGAATTATATTGTGTTTGTATGAACTAACATGATCAACAGCAGCAACAAATATTGTGCAACATAACAAAACTACCATTTTATTATTTGATAGGTCGCATGTTTTCAGGAAATATATACAGGGTCATTCACAAAAGGGTGAAGAGTTTGGAGGAGGCAGGGGAAGTGAACAATCTAGGTCAACATAGCTGATTTGGAAAAATTCTCACTTTGCAGTTCAGCTATGTTGTCCTAGATTGTTCCCTTCTCCTGCCTTCTCCAAACTCTTTACCCTTTTGTAAATAACCCAGATAATGTTTTGAGAATGTAAGTAATTGTAGCCGAAAAAATGTGGATTTTAGCATGTGAAAATATTGGCCTGGCATCAAAAGGGTTAGAGCGGACCTCCCGCCTTCCCTCATTAGAAACCGCCAACATCTAAAATGATTTAAAACATGTCCACTTACATATATCATCGCACCTCTGTTTTTAATCCCTTGCCACATTCTTATAAGATCATTTTTGTCCGCGCCACACTCCACACCACCATTTTTAAGAATAACATAATTGGTGGCCAGAATTCTCCTCCTCATCTCGCGCATGCGCTGTATGACACTCATCTGTGAAAAAAACTTTCATCCCGCGTCCTCACAGTTTAGAAACAAGATCTCCCTGGAAGGCACTGATGATGCAGCCTTCCCAGGGGGCACCTGTGAGGCCATGACTATGTCACCAGTGTCTAAGAAGACCAGGAAGTGGAAAATAGTCACATTTAATTAAACCAAGTCTTTATTTTTTGGTTTTCTTTTCAAACTTTGGCATGTTTATGGGTTGGGCATGCTTAGGATTTTTAGCTTGGGGGGGATATCCACTTTAATCTGTTTAGTAATGCAACATACATCCTAAAGATGATTTAGTTATTATAGTTGAAAGTTAGGACTTATTTAGTGTGGTAGTTAGTGGATTAGTTAGTGTCATAGTTTAGTGGATTAGAATCCAAAAATGCAAGCTGTCACCTCGATTGCAACATCCACTGTCATAGGATTCATTTCTTTTTAAACCATGAAGAGCTCACATTGGTATCTGTGATGCAAATAAACAAAACTCAATAGATGGCATTGTGTTCTTTCTGTTAGCTCAGAGACCACGGCACGACATTATATACTTTCCCATAATGCAGATTGTCCTCGTGACTAACCAAGATACGCATGTACATTGTCCCCCCTATAGTCTCCCTGCTAATGCTGCACAACAGTCATGAATTAGAATAACCCCGTTCATGAAAGTATAATTCCAACTCCATGGTTTTGACAGTTTAGATATTGTAAGGCAGAACACGGAGATAATGTGACATGGAAATATTAAAGTAGAAGTCTATCTCTGCACTGCAAGGGTTGAGTGCTAGTTTTACCTAGGAAGCTGAAATAAAAAAAGTTATACTCACCCTAACTTCAACCGCAGCTTCCTCTAAAGGTGTCCATACACTTTCCAAGACCTTAGTCTTGCGATGGTTGTAAAGTAATTTAAAAAACGTACAATCTGCCCATCTTGGACAGGCAGATCGTACTTGTGATCATCGCAAGCCCTCCCCCCTGAGGGGCGGGCTTCCGATGACTGCAATGAGGGGCGGGCTTCCGATGATGCGCGTGCGCACACCGGCCCGTTCGGCAGTTGTCGAACAAGCAGGCCACTAACTTGCCAAGAATCGTACGATTCCTGGCGGGTTTTCCAGCCTGCTTTTTCGACGGAAGACGGGCGACCGTACAGTAGAAACGGCCGCCCGCCTTCCATACACTTTGCAATTATCGTAGGATCGCGGGATTTCCTGCGATTCTCGTACGATAATCGTACAGTGTATGGGCACCTTTAGACTGTAGACACAAAAACACAATGGTGCACGCTAACTCAAGTGCATTTAAAGTGGAAGTAAAGTAATAAAATAAACATGGCTGGGAGGGCAACATTTTTGGCAGAAGAGACATGCAAACTCTCTGTGGCAAAAACAAATTCTCCCTCTTTCCCGCGCTGAATTTTAAATTTCTGTGTACACCATATAATGCATGTGCCGTGCAATGTAAACTCAGATCATTTGCGGAATCTCTGAGATGCCAGTAATGGGCCTAATGCTGGGGGAGGATGTAACTCCTGTGCATATGTGCAGGAATTACATTTGTGGCCACCCAATGGGCAAAAATGAATGCACGGGAACCCAGAGGTAGCACTGCAGAGACAGCAGCGGTGGACTGAAAATACATCAGTCAGCACTTGTAAGTGTACCATACTTGCCTATTATGGCAAAAGCCAACTCAACACACAACAGCACACTATCACTTTAACACGTCAACATGCGCTAAATGCAATGCATGTGGTCTGAATCCAGCTATCATGCAACATATCCATAGCACTGAAGCCCTTGCTAACACTTAGGCCTCATTCACACCTGCATTTAGGGCCAACAGTGGCAGAATTCCAGAGAATTCCAACGGCTGGGGTGATAGGAGGTCGTGGAAAGTTGTGGCAGACCAGCCTGTACAAATCAATGAGAGGCTAACAGCATTTGCATGTAATCTCACATGGGTTAGGGACAGATGAGCAACCCTGGACACAACAGGATGACTACAATCATCTGTATCTCTTGCTGCATGCCCTACATTGGCAGAGATTCCCATTGTGAGGTAGAATCATCTATGCTTGCTTGCCATGGCAGGTGTGTAGAACTGGTGATTCTGATGCAGAATCCTCCTAGCTGAGTCATAACACGATAGTGGGTAATTCAGATAGTTGGCAGACAGTCAGGTCTATAATAGTGAATACGTAGTGTGGAATTACCATTTTAGACATTAATTAGAAGTAAGAGAGGATCAGTTGTGATCCTCTATTGATTCCTGTGGTCTCTTACTGGAATTTGCCTATTTCTATTTGATATCAATTTTATACAGAGATAATTAAAATATTAGTTACTCAAGAGCTCTAATAAGTGCTATTTGTATTAAAAGTGGACCAACGTTCAAAATATTACATTGATCTAGGTTCACAGTCTTCCTTGGAAGGATAAATAAAGAGTAATATAAGGTTTGACACAGCTTTCCTGCTGCTCACATTGCTAAATGCCTGGGCATTAAGTCATGTGATCTATGTTGAAGGGAGGTATCAAAGCTCAGACTGGCTGATCCTCCCTTTCAACAGACATCGTGGGACAAAGAGGCTTGGCTGTTTATGTGACCAGCACTAAAGAGAGTCTGAAGCTGCATTTTCTCCAGGAAAGGTAAGTATTTCAACCCTTCCATTCATCTTTATTTATGCTTCCAAGCACGACTGTAAACATAGCTCCTTCTACACCCATGCTTCCTTATTGGTCAAAGAGACTCCCATCACGATAAACAGGGCATGTTAGACCTCTGCCGAGGGACCACTGCTTCCACACACAGAGCAAGCAAGACTGTAAATATAGCTCCTTCAACTCCCAAGCTTCCCTATTGGTCAAAGATAACCCCATAAGGTTAAATGCGGCATGTCGGACCTCTGCAGAGTGACCACTGCTACCACAGAGAGAGCAAGCATGAATGTAAACATAGCTCCTCCTACTCCCAAGCTTCCTTATTGGTCAGATAGATTCTCATCATGTTAAATAGGGCATGTCAGACCTCTGCAGAGAGACCACTGCTTAAACACAGAGAGCAAGAGTCCCACTCTGCAGCATGCTGGCAGGGACAGGCTTTTCTACTCGGGCTGTGGCGGCTTTCTAAAGAAGACAAACTGTAAACCTTTGTTCTGGTGTACCCGGAATGCATTAAGCTGATTTAAAATGATAGCTGGGCTTTAAATATTAAATCTGGGAGGAGAAACGTGAAAAACACTGTTGTGAAAGATGACCCCTGCAGATTAGTGGAATGTAGCTGATTTATCACTACCACAGCCCTACAAGTTTGTGACTTTGCTGAACGAGTGAAGAATGTTGCTACTTGTCTCCGTACATAAACCTGCAACCTGAGCCAAAATACTTTGTATGACTAATGCTGAACGTCTCAAGGTATCCTGGTGAAAACAATAGAAGTAACACTGTAGGAAACACCTCGTCCTGCACCAAACCACAAGGGTGCAAAGGAAAAAAACACAAAGGTTCTTGGAACTGGAGCGTATTTATTAAGATTGCTAACAATATGAAATATATCACATATGGCATCAGTGTTACTCTGCATTTGGAATTGCAAGTACAAGTTCTGGCAGAGTTTTCAGGGTTGGATTTAGACATCTTTTTGCCCGAGGCAAAGTTATGAGTTATGATGACTCTCTTTCTGACAGATGACACCCCTCCTGTGCAGGAAAAAGTAATTAACAAAAAATCAAGAGGGTGCTGTTGATGGCAACATGCAACATGTCTTTCTATATGCAAAAATACTACTCTACTAATATAAACTAGAAGAAAAGGATGCTCATTTCAGAAAGTAGTGTGATTCCTCTCAACTGCACTCAAACAAGTTCTAAACCATAATGGCTCCTGTGACCAGTGGTTGGGGCTGTTGCAATCCTCAAAATGTAAAGATCAGGGCTGTAGCTACCATGAGGCGAGTGAGGAGGCCGGACTGGCTGCGCTTCCTCGCTCCTGTTGCCATGGCAAGCACAGGGCCCCATGGCAACAGGGGCGCCAGGCGGCCAACACAGCCGCTGCTTGGCAGGGAGAAGAGGGGCGGCACAGGCTCCAGCATCTCCTCGGATCCCCGAAGCTCTCCCCCGCCTGTATGGGCAGAGGCAGCGGGGATCTGATGAGAAATGGAGAGCTGCAGCCGGCTGGAAGGGACGGAGGAGGGAACTGTCATCCAGGATGGCCAAGTGGTGAGGAGAGAAAAAGCCGCTAGGCCAGGATCTGATGGCCAGCGGCTCTTTCTCTCCTCACCACTCGGCCATCCTGAAGTGACAGCACTTCCTTCTCCGCTCTCCCCCGCTCTCCCCAGCTGGCTTCAGCGCTTCCTTCTCGCCCTCCCCCCGGCTGGCTTCAGCGCTCAGGATGGCAGAGCGGTGGATCGGTAAATATCAGTGATATTTACCGATCCTCTTTATGCAGAGCAAACCCTAGAGTGATCAGCTGATCAGTTTTTGTAAATAACTGGGGACACATAGTACTATGTGTCCCCAGTTATGAATGAACAGGAAGTGCTTAACATCACTTCCTGTTCATTTATGAGTTTTTCAATGGGTGGAAGCACTCACTATAGAGGCTTCTATCCATTCATAACTGGATGATAGTAAATATTTTACTATCACCAGTTTCTGAATGAATGGGAAGCCTCTGTACTGAATACTTTCCATTCATTTAGCACAGAGGCTGCAGAAAAAGAGATTGAGGACTCTGTGTCCTCCATTTCTTTTTCTATTTCAAAAGGGAAATGTCAGGGGTTTGTTCAGACCCCTGATATTTCCCCAAAGCCTCCCCCCCCCCACAGTAAAAAATATATTAATAATATATAATTATGAAAAGACATATATGAAAAGATTAAAAATTTGTTTTGCAGAAATGAACAGAAACTAAAAATGTTTTCATTAGTTTTGTCAAACAAAACAAACTTTTATGCCATTTTGGATTTGGCCCCCAGCATGCGGGAGGTCGGGTGACATCACACGTCTGTTGTGGGGGGCACAATTTTCTGTTCTTGCCTCAGGTGTATAAGGAGCTAGCTACATCTCTTGTACAGACTGATAATGTTTTCCTATTTTCTTTCCCACTTCTGTCCACCTGTGCTCATCCATGGGTAAATGAAAGCACATCTAAACCCAAAACCCAAAATGTAAAATATTGACGCTTACCTCTCCTTCAAAGTGTTGGCTGCGTTCATTTTCTTTTTTTCCAGGCTTTTTTCCACCTAATAATTCTCTGAATAACACATTTCCTGTCCCAACATGGCTATGTTTACTCCTCCACTGTATCTATGGAGGGAGTCATAGTTGTCACCCAAGCTGGAGTTTAGACATTTAACATCCTGTCCTGCACTATCACTCAAAGTCACTGTACATAGGTGGAAGGCCAACAGTGGCACTGCATAAATACTGCATATTAAAAGCAGATGTGGTTGTAGCATATATTTGCAGCACATTTATGTCAAAGCCACACTGTAGTGTGTGGTCCTTAATCTAACAAATCTTCCAACCTGCTTTGACTTATCTCCTCTGCAAGACCCGTAAGTGCCTCTATACCTACTTTGGATTTATATGGATATTTATGTAGATGAGCACCTGGGCATTTACCTTACAAATAGAGTGTGGTGGCCACCCTTGGGTTTGTCAACACCACACCGAAAAAAAACAATATTTAGCCTCCTGGCCATAGCATTTGCCCAGCTTGGGCTGTGCAAGCTCTCTGCCAGTTCTAGCACTATGTCTCTCAGTGCAGGACTTTCCATCAGATGGTAGTCTGGTCCAAGCACCTATCTCCAAGGCCAGATAGGCCTGGGCATGCTGTCCTTGTGTGTTTGAACACTCAATGCTCCTGCAGCAAATCTGCCAGGCTATTGGCTGGGGCAACGGCTGCTGAATACCCGAACAGCACCTACATCTTATTGGAAGCTGTCACTTTCCTGCCGGTCCTGCTCCTTCTTCAAAAGTCGATTGAAAAACATGAGTTCGAATCGAACATCGGCAGTTCGAGCGCTCGACGAGCGCCGAACTTTATGGGATGTTCGCGGTCTGTTCGACCGCGTACATTCCATAATACAAAATGCCCATTGAAGCTCTGATTGGGCAAAGTCTTGCACCTGACCACAGGTCAGGTGCAAGACTTTGCCCAATCAGGGCTCAGCGGAGGAGGGGCCTGAAGGTATGGCTCCCAGCCTGCAGACGAAGTGGAGGCAGGGGGGCGGGCAGAGGAGCCGCGGCCGGACTGAAGGAGAAAAGCCGACGAACCACCGGGACAGCGAGCAGACGGACCAGGGGACCGAAGGCCGGGACAGCGAGTGGACGGACCAGGGGACCGGAGGCCGGGACAGCAGCGGAGGTAAGGGGGCCAGTACACTGTATTTATTACATGTACCGGCAACTGTATGGGGGTCGAACATTCGACCCCCATACACTTGCATTGAGTTTGATTTCATATTCGAACATTTCGGCCATTCGAATGTTCGAATACGAACCGAACAGGGGGGTGTTCGGCTCATCCATATTCTTGACCAAGGCTACATCATTATGTTACAATTTAAAACTAATTGGAATACGTACGGCTTAGGAGGACTAAGTCGTACCAAACAGCGATTGTTTTGTGTTCTTGCTAGCCTTGACTTCAAGGTCAGTATAACAATCTCCTGCTTGCCACGTATCTATCTAGGTTTTAGTATAACTAATTTCTAATTCATGGTCACTGATACTTGGACCTGTTCTCCAAACATCTATCAAATCTTTGCTTTATGAATTAATTTTCAGAAAATATCAGTGCACCTTTGTCGTTTTCAAACTGAATCTGTGCATACAACATCACTTAAAGTTACAGTAACAACAGTGCTCCATGAAATTAAAACATAATTGCACTTCTGAACTGCTTACTGGTTTGGCAAAAAATTATGTTCCAGTCTGCATCCCATAGCAGTCATGTGACTAGTGGGGAATTATTGGTCACATTTTCTCAGTTTCTGCTGAGGAGTCTGGATCAGTCTTTTTAAGGCTGGTTAATGTTGGTCATTAACCATAAGATGATCTGGTTGGTACCTGGGTGAATGGACAACAAACTCATGTTTACTGCAGTGCCCCGCTGACCAATCTTGGGTGGAAAGACCATGCAGGTGAAAATTAGAGATTTTAAACTCCTCATGATGTGGTAGCCCTGGACAGGTGTGAAAACTTTGTCCAACTGTTGTTCTTCCTAGTGAGACAACAGACACTGCTGCTGACTGTCACACACTAGTTTTTCATTCTTCTACATATGTTTGACTGTTGGAGGTATGGAAACCCTGTTGGTGGACATTTTTCCCTGGGCAAGAGTTCTTTACAAAGCCAGAAAATGGTTCAACTCTCCATCGCCCTCCCAGAACTGATATATTAGTCTGGGGAGGTCTTACCCTTTTAACCAAAGGTAGGAAAGCAGTATCTCAGCTGTTGTGAAGTTGTTACTAAAAATTGGTTTATTGTCAATTATTGAGCTTTCCAAATATATCAACCAACATCATCTGGTTTTTGTTAAATATTTTTAGAAGTTTGCGCAATTACAGCAACTCTTTATATTTATTCCAAAAATGGAAACAAGCCTTGTGAACAATGAAAAAAAATTCAGGAAGATGGTAAAATGGAAGAACACAAAGTGAAAAATGAGTGAGCTGTAGTGTGGACATTGATATGTGGATTGCCATAACTCCATGCAGATTAGCTACAGTTGAGTCTTGATCCATTACTGAAAACTGTATTGAATTCTGAAAGATGATTGATTGATAACTATACCATGCAGTAATGGGCTTGTCTTGCAATTCCTCATTGTGTGAAACTGTGTTTGGGGAAGACTTATTTTATTGGTGCATAGAGTCACGTGTGGTGTAGTCACCAAGCACGGAGGGGCCCCGTATACCCCGACTAAGACCTGAATTTGCCATGAACTGGGCTGAAAGGAAACAATTTGATGTCCATTGTAGATCACTGATCTGCTCTGCCATATAGATCAGTTGAGGGGCTCTTCGAGCCTGTTACCAGTTTACTTACGCACTAGTGTCTGCAGGTTTCCCATTGAATGGAACCATGCTGTCTAATGAATTGTAGAATCCTCATCCTTACCACTGACTTCCAGTCAGCAATTTGATCCACTGGGTTCCCTGTTTTTATGTAGTAGCAGAGCACGCAGAGAATTATGAATGATTCTCCTATTACTGTGATGATGTAGTCCTAAAATTGAAGTATTATACTTCTTTTATTGGATAGCGTCTAATAACTACAGTTATTTCCTATGGGGCTTGATATCAAAGGAGGTGGGGAATTCCACCCTATAACTCCTTGTACCTTCTGCTTTTAAATAAAAGCAGGAGGGAACAAATGACATAGTAAAGGGTCCAATGGATCTCTTTACTATTTCTCTCTATCCAGCTCTTGTATCATATACATTGTCTAGTATTGGCTAGGTGATGCCATTATAACTGCAAATCACACATATAAATAAGATTAGGTATAAAATAAGTTCTCGGAATAGAGCGGAAAAGGCATCCACATTTGTTTTAAGTATTTACATTACAGTTTCACATAAAAGGACACAACTATTTGCTCATCATAAGACCAGGAGTAAGGAGACGTCTGGCACAGTGTCAGTAGCTATGTTTGGATTATATTATAAATTAAACAATGATATGGCATTCTTTCAATATTATGTAAGGGCAGCAGATTTAGGCGTGAAGGATTACGCAATTATCATATGACCTAGTGAGGTAGGAAAAGATTTGCTAGTATTATTATTATTATGATTATTATTATTATTACATCTTTTTCTATGGTCATAGCTAGCTAGAATAATTAGAGGGCTGAATTCTTGGTGATCTGTCTATGTATGCTCACTTTTACAGAATTGTTTTATGTTGTACAACACAGTTGCATGTATTATTTTAATAATCTTAACAGTTATAGCCCCAAAACCCAACCTAACCATCCATGTGTTCTGTTTCAAATAAAGAAAGCAGTTTTGCCATTATACTACCTCTTTTCCATGGTCCTCCTTCCAGCCCGGCATCATCCAAACCACTTTCTCTGAGCCCAGGCCATCATGGACACCCCCCTGGCGTAATGTCATCACACTGGCCTGGACTGACAGAACTCCTGGGCAGAATGGCATTCGCACACCAGTACATGTGCAATCCTGTCCAGAAGTAAAGACCACCCACCACCGTTACTGAGAAAACTGGCTTGGCTGGTTTGTAAAAAGAAAAGGCTGGAAGTGGGCTTTACATTTATAGCATTAACTCGCACTATGTAGAATAATAATAAAGATACACTAGCTAATCTGATTTTGCCTTTTATCAATGTTATTGCTGATTGGCTACCACAGGTGACTAACATTTTCTCATTCCTCTTTTCTTTATTAACTAAGTCTGTGCACTTCATTAGATATGAGCTAATTTATTTGTCCTATATAAGCTGAAATGTGTTTTATTGAGCTCTGTATCCTCAGCACAGCCTGCCTAGGCCAGCCTTCAAAAAATGTGTATTCTGTGGAGTTGTTCATTTGTAATCACAGTAGCATTTCTAAAAAACAAACATTTATGTATTTATTATCGACATTGAATTCAAGACGTCATTGAGGAAAACATTGGTGTCTGTTGCAGCCTTTCTCAACCAGAGTGCCTTGGCACCCTGGAGTTCCTTCTGTCCTTCTCAGTGGTGCCACGAGATTTTGTGATGGTAGGACTCTGATGTGAAGGGGGGGTGCTGAGGGCTCTTGATGGGAAAGGGGGGACTCTAATGTAAAAGGGGATCTCTGATGTGAAATTGGGGAATTTGATGTGAAGGGACAACCTTATTTTTTTGTGTTTTTGCATGGGGCCCCGGCTAAACCCATTACATTTTAGTCTGGGGTGCCTTGAGATTTTTCATGTTTTTAAGCTGTGCCATGACTGAAAAAAGGTTGAGAAACACTGGTATTGTATGTACGGGGATGAGTCAGAAATTATCCGCACTCTGGCTGTAGAATTAATTTTAATCAATTTTAGAAAAGACAAATACATAATTTATCGACATAATCTCCTTGCTTTTCAATACACTTTGCCCGTCTGTCAACAAGCTTTCGTACTCCCTCATTAAAAAATGTTTTAGGCTGAGCTGCGAGCCACGAATGCACCGCTGTGTTCACTTCTTAATCAGAGGTGAATCTTCGCCCTTGTAGAGCAGCATTCAGGGGACCAAAGACACATAATCCCCTGTCACCTGTCTATTTGACAGAATCATTTCACGTATACGCTCAATGTTGTCATGAGCCTTGGATGCGTTCGGCTCCGTCTTGATGGCACTTGTGCGACCTTCCATGAACTTCTCTATCCATTCATACACACTTCGTCATGACAAAACACTTTCTCCATACTGCAAACAAAGTCTTCGAAAAATATTGGTACCAAGCGCACCCTCCGACCACAAAAAACAAATCACTGTATGCTGCTCTTCTTTTGTGCAAATCACAAGTGGGGCATCCGTTTTTTTTCTCCCACCGCAGTTACAAATGAACTGACGTAATACGTTCACACCTGCACAGCAGTGACTGGGGAGACAGTAGCCTTGAACGGAAAGCGCTGATAAGAAAGTGCAGCCAAGAAAACATAATAATAGTGTGGATGTTGCAAACATCAACTTTCTGAAATTTGGCAACAGCCCTTCTAAGAGTAGACTAAAGAACACCATTGTGTCGCGTATATGGTATTACTCACCTAAGTATATCTCTGTCTTGCACAAATGAGTAGGTCAGCTAGCAGGCTTACTTGGTGTAATCATTAGACATGTGCGATTCGTTTCGTTCCGAATCGAAATTCGGACGAATTTTCGGAAATTCGGACATTTGGATGTATCCGAATTCCGAATTACAGACATAACGAATGCAAACGAATCCGAATTTCCATTTCCAAAATTCGGTAGCGTTCGTACGAACGTTTGTTTCGTTTTCTGTTCTTATTCGTTTCTTATTCGTTTCGTTTGTTGGAGCAAAGTGACATTAGAGAAGGAGAAAAATATTTTTCCCCCCTTTAAATGTCACTTTTGCTGCAAACGAACGAAACGAATAAGAAACGAATAATAACAGAAACGAAACGAACGTTCGTAGTAACGCTACCGAATTTCGTCCGAATCCGAATTCCGAATCCGAATTGACTTTCACACCCGAATCCTGAAAAACGAAATAACACAAATCCGAATTTAAAACGAAACTAAACTAAACGAATTTTTTGGCAGTGCACATGTCTAGTAATCATTAGCCCTCTAGATACCAGCTCATGGCAAAGAGTTTTCGGGTAGGTTCCCATTAGTAGCAATGTTGGATGGCATATTCATGGGTTGCTTCATATGTAATATGAATACAGCCTTCAATACTTTATTGCTCAACCCACTGGATGTGAGGTTCTTGGATATGGCTAGACACGGCTTGGTTGTTCATTCACTGCTGCATTGTAAAAGCTGGGGGGGTCATTTGTAGGTTCTCCTCACACTCTAAAGTTTAAAATTAAGGTGCTCTTGGGGCAATGTCTTAGCCACTTGGAAACGATCAAGGTGGACATATATGACGCTCTTAGACTGCAAAGGTCGTACCACCATACCCTGGGGACTTGGACTGCGGGAGTGCACATTAATGATAATGGAAAACAATTCTTTTGGTTTAGACAGGTAAAAATGATTTTTGGCAGCACATTAATATAATTACTTGTTTTTACTGTGAAACATTGGGAATAAACAGCCTTTAATTGTGATTTATGTTTGGATTTCTTGGGAGCACTAGGGTGTTTAAAGGGCATTTCAAGGGCCCCTATTTCACGCTCATGTATGCTTAGGGGCTTAGATGCACTGGTGCTTGTTTGAATCTGACTTCTCTATACAACCAGAAATAGTTCAAAGCAACTCAAGATCAGTGAAAGAAGACATCTGGTTTGCTATTACGGGTTTCTGAATTCAGCATGTAGTAATTACCCTTTGTATTGCCTTGACAAGTAAGTCTGCTTTTGCTTTCTGAAGGGGACATGGGCTTAGTTACAGTATATGTTGCCTCTGTTCAGTGATAGGGTTACCACACTGCATAGTTTCTGGGTAATCGGTCTACAGCACTACTTAGGCCAAACAACACTATATTTTTATACTATTCATTTGCATGTGCATTAAAAAGAGAAATTTAATGCAATTTCTCTTTTTACCCTGTTCCTGTTCATAGCTGAGTAGCACAATCTTTTATTGTGACATGTATTTTGTCTTGTATTGTTTGTCTTCCAATTAATCTGAAAACATAGGGGGTCGTTTGCCTGGCACAGCAGAAATGTAAAGAACGCTTAGTATTTTTTATCAATGCATAAAAGATGTTATCTGATTGGACAGGGTGCAGATCATGATGTCACCACCCCTCATCCAATCATAGAACGACTTGTATTCATTGATGAAAATACTAGGCGTTCTCTGAATGACCACGGTGGCAGAGGGCCATTCAGGTCACAGAACATTGTGGCGAGCACTGCAGCAGCTCTGGCGAATACAGTGATTTATAGCATTCCCAGTGGCCAGTCAGAGGACTTATGTAAGTAGGCATAATACTTTATACCTGGAGTTCAGCTTTAGCTCACTGCAATTCTACACCCTTTAGTCTAGTTATATATTATTTTTAAAAAATCATTAAATATATAAAAGTACTGCTTAAATCAGACTGTGAGCCATTCATACTCTGCTACATTACACATTGCTGTTAATCTAACATGTTTTCAGGCACTGGGAGCTGAGGGAGCACAAAGTTAAGTGTGATATTGCTGCTTCATAGTTTAGTCAAAAGACAGCTGATCATGAAAGCTACAAAAAAAAACAGTGGTGTAACCCTCCAGGGTTTATAGTGCCGCAGTACCAGGAATGAAAGAATTACAAATGCCTTGGCATGAAAAACATCTATAAACATATACATATCTTTAATGGTGTATGTAGATATCTGGCAGGAATTTCTGGTTTAATGTTTACTTTAGATCAAAACAGGACAAAAAAGTCACAAAAAGTTATTTTTTATATTAATATTTAATTCATAAATATTTTCTGCAGCTCGAGGGCAAATTTAATTACATTCTGATTGATGAGAATGTGTCTTATGATGTGTCAGAAGCCAAAAGTATTCATGATATCATCAAAAAAAATGTACACAGCTCTGCCATGGTCTGTAATTGTTTGCTACCACCTAGTGGTAAGTTGTTGCATTGAAGATCTTTTTACAGTAAACATTCGTTCGAAATCATTCATCGGAGCTTTCGATCTTGCCATCAATGAGTCAACTAATGGCTCAATGAGGAGATTGCTCGAAAGCCCTTAAAAATTTCGTTCAGACCTGCTAGGTGGATGGAAGTCCAGGTGTATTGTACAGGTGTCTTTTGTGTGTAGCACATCTGCATTACAATATGTATGATTTTTCCAGAACGAAGATAACATTCACTGTTAAAATTTTGCTCATTCAGATAACAAGAAACATTTTCCATCCTGCACCTTAGTTTTTCCTCATCACGGTCAAAATGAACATTGATTAGACCCAACTAACCATTAAAAAAATCAAACAAATGTAATGAAAATTACAATTTTCAAACAAAGTTCTACTGGTGTATGGCTAGGTTTAGGCTCATATCAGACCAGCAATCATGTCATTGGCAGCAGCTCTTTAACCTTTTTCACTAAAAATCACAGCAAAATGCAGCTCTGCTTGCTGATATGAAATGATCTCATTAGTTAAACATATTTTTTTTTCTACTTACAATTACTGTTTTTCCACTTCCTGGTCCCCTTGGGCATTAGAGATGCAGATAGAGACGATGTACATGGTCACATGTCCTAGTCACATGTGCCAGAGTTCCGGGAAGTAAAGAGAGATATATAAATCTGCCCTTTAGTATAAATGGGCACTGTGAGAAGAATGGGGAGGAAAAGAAAAATAAGGTATACAAAGAATAAAACGTCTGCAATTATCTAGAAGTATGTGTTTGGAGATTGTCATTACTAAACATTTCTAAATGCATATTTGTCGTCATTTCAAAGATATGGGTAAAGTCCCTCTTTAATAAAACTCCTGCATCCACAGCATCGTCCCCTTGCTGGTCAAAACACTTCAGATCCTTGAAGTCTGGCTTTACACCTATGTGTTGCAGTAACGCTCGGCATTCTGTGTCTTTAGGAGTGGCACCCTAATCCACAGCACAGCCGGTACCAACTGATTGCATTGCAGTGCCCCGCCCACGCACTTACTGTGCATTATGGTGTGTTGCATTACAATTAAAGTGCAGGTCTAGATTTAGTTCTGTTGCCATGTGTTGACAGTATGTTCTAAACAAGTGGGTTGCTTTAATGCAGCCGGCTACCACATGGTAACTTCCATTTGATAATCCAAGTCAACAGAATGGCACAGTCTGAAGGACGCTTAAAACGTTGTAATGTTTCAGTTGAAAATGGGATGTTGCTTAAAAAAAATACAATAATCATTTTGTTTTATGTTTTAGTTTCCCAAAAACCATTGAAGTCTGAAGAGCCAGATGGAGATCTGGATGACGATGACACGGTATAGTAATACTTTTACCATGTTTTGTTGGATAGCAATGAACTGAAGTTTATCTCAGGGTTTCTATGCCCTGTGCACAATGCTTAGAATAACACCTACTGTATATCACACACCTTGCAACCATTTTCATCCTGCCTTGAACTTTTGTAATCCATAAAACATATTAGACATGCTCTAAGAAAATGTAATAAAATGGTCATGAATCTGATTGAGTGACAAACACAAGTACAGATTTCATAGGTAGTTTTAGTTGCTCTGTTCCTTGACATCTACCCACTCCTGGCTATTCCCCTGTGAAATTAAGTCCACAGCCATAAAAATGGGCGGCACAATGACTTAGTGGTTAGTACTTCTGTCTTGCAGCATTGTGGTCCTTGGTTTGTATCCTGACCAGGACACTATTTGCCTGGAGTTTGTATGTTCTCCCTCTACTGATTGAATGCAATGTATTGGACCTTTGCTTGGTTTTGCACCTAGACAATAAATGTCCGCTAAGAGGTAGGTCAACTGTCCTGGGAAATAATGTACATATTGTATATGCAAGATTACCTCACGGAGCTCATAAATGTAAAAGCCGTATATGGACTAGACTAAATTTGTTTCCATAAAAGTAAGATGTGAAACACATAAAGATTGAGATTTTCTATAAATCTGGCCATATAAATCCGTTAGCCCTCTCCAATGTGGCCCTTTTTGGCAAGATAAGATGGCAGTCCCTTGTCCAAGCAGTAGCAGATGCCCCCTGGCTGGCTGCTCATGGGGAAACAAGTCTATAAGCAAGTCATATGGTTCCCACCAAGTTGAGCTGTGCTGGGAGCTCTCGCCTTTCTCAACGTTACATTTAGCTAAATGTATAATTGGCTTGGCCAAGATTATATGTTTAGGATGCCACCAGCCAATTGATGAGTCTCTGGGTGGTTGGATACTGTCCATTGCAATGTTAAAGTAAACCTGTAAGAGTAGAATATGGGGGTTGCCATTACTGATTTCCTTTTGAAAATGATACCTACCTGATTCTTGTGCTGGCCTATGCACTTTGGGGCTGATTTATAACATGTTCACACAACATATACAACACATAACTGCCACTAGATGAATTTCCTACGCTCTTTGGCTCCATCTAGTGGCAGTAATGCACTGCAAACGTTCTTCGCACAGATATTTACAGTGTGCATACATGTTATTTATCAGACCCTTTGAGCCATTGTTATTTATCAGACTCTTCGAGCCATTGACCTGGAACACATATGCAGATCAGGAAAGTCAGAATCAGAGGTCATTTTCTGCATACTTGTGCCAGGTCAGTGAGCAAGGAATGTACAGTACAGTGCATAGGTGCCACAATAAAAAATTGCTAGGAGGGAAGACATGCAAAGTTTCTACTGCCACAAGACTTCTTCTCCTTGCCCCTGGCAATTTTTATTTTGTGTCCACCGATAGTGGCGCATGTGCCCAAGATACCTCTGAGTATGAAAATCTCTGTACAATAATAAGCTCCCACGCTACTGAAATCACTGAACATCATCCTCTGGGTAGTTCAACAGCAGCCTAAGGCTCCACAAAAATGTTTGAATCAGGGGCATTGCTTGGTATTAGCTGGAGTTTTTATGACCACCTTCAGTAGGTTACTATTAAAGATCTGTAGACAGAGCTATGTCTATGAAATGCAGCTTTGTCTACATGATGTGCTCCTGATAACACTCAATGTACATATATACTGCATTCTGGACATACAGCTGGATCTACATTCCTCCCATCTGAACACTGACTACACCATAGATGAGCTAGGAACCTGCAGAAACACAAGGGGAAGGAGTGGAAAAGGTGGTGGAAGGTGGAATTTCTGAGGCGCAAATTGACTTGATTTGGATACAGTTGATCCACTAACTCCCTGCAATGCATTCATCAAATGCCCTTACATTTTCCTCCGTTGTAAATTGCTGCACAGTAGTCTTGTTTTGTATAAATAACCCATAGTGAATTCATTTAATGATATAAGACAGACATGGGAATTCAAATCCGATTCTATTTGCACTGTAATTATTTACAGTACAATTAGCGTGTCAATATTTTTCAGAATGAACTGACCACACCTTATGAAACGCTTCCATCTAGCTGAAAGGTGTGTGGCAATCCCATAGTCAAATTCTATTATTTGAATTCTGTGTAACTTGCCTGTGTTCAGTGCGACTTACATTTCCCTTTTGTAATATGCATGTTTTTTCTGATAGTTATAATGTTCCTGTTTATTACTAATTAATTATCTGTATGGTGGAAAGTATTTATGATTTTTTTTATGAATAGCTAATATGATACATTTTTCTATATATATCGATTTAGATGATTATCTACTATTTTTCATGATTATTTATTTATTCCGTAAAGTGTTATCAGACTCATATGTTTGAATTTTCTAATTTTTAGCTCTTTCACTTTAATTGAGCTCATACAACAGGGTGGCATGTTGGCTAAAGTGATTAACTAGGCTTGTCTCGGTTGAATGGAATCTTAAGTCATTTGCAGGGTTACAGCCACTGCTAGAATGTTCAGCAACCAACTTTTCCGCGTGTGTCGCATCCTGCATCTACCCGCTGCCCCCTGTGGCGAAGACACCCTATTGATGTAGTGGCCCTTCGGG